TCTGATCTTGTCACACTCTGCTTCCATTCTTTCCAAGATGTCTATTTACTTACAAGATAAGTTAGAAGCTTATGTCTCTCCAGACTCAGCCTGTGCTCAACTGTCCACTCTCTTATTCCCTACCCAAGGCCCCGCCTTGACAGCCACATGGAACTATCTACACTCTTCTAAATGTCAGTGCCGCTTCACATCAAGGCCTGTGGCCATATGACTTCTCCTTTTTGGAACATCTTTCTCCATTCCCATCACCCCTTCCTGCCACACCTTCACTCACTCACACACACACTTCTTCCAGTGATCTTTGAATTCCTATTAAGATCCATGCAAATGTTCCCTTCTCAGTAAAGGTTTCCTGGACACACCCAAGCAGAGGAAATCATGCCTCTCTTTGTGCTATTTTTAGCACTTACTGATATCTCTTATGACATTTATCAAACTGTCCCACAATTCTTTGTCTTTTAGGGAAGCCTTTAGGGTAAAGCATAAAGTCATTTTTGTATCTCCAACACTAGCATGTACATCGTGTAATGTTAAGTGTGTCTATATGTGTACTTACGCATACACACACATGTGTATGAAACATAACAACATGGCCAGGCGCGGTGGCTCACACCTGTAATCCCAGCACTCTGGGAAGCCGAGGCGGGCAGATCACGAGGTCAAGAGATGGAGACCATCCTGAACAACATGGTAAAACTACGTCTCTACTGAAAATACAAAAATTAGCCGGGTATGGTGGCAAGTGCCTGTAGCCCCAACTACTTGGGAGGCTGAGGCAGGAGAATCGCTTGAACCCTGGAGGTGGAGGTTGCAGTGAGCTGAGATTGCACCACTGCACTCCAGCCTGGCGACAGAGTAAGACTCCGTCTCAAAAAAAAAAAAAGAAAAAGAAAAAAAGAAAAGGAAAGTAAAAAGAAACATAATGACATTAGAGTTTCTAGCTTATATCCCAATATCTTGGCCATTCATCAGCACCCTGGCTATTTTTTACATCATCACAGTACTTCCATCAGTTCACCAGGGATGGAAGTGGCATCCACCTGTGCCTCTTCATCTGTTGGGTGGAATGCAACATATATGATAGGTGGGTATTGAGTGGCCCTGGACTGGAGTCACAATCACTGATTATGTGCTGGAAGTCAGAGGGGGACAGGGAAAATCCCCCTTTCCTAGGAAAAGGGTCCTTAAGTTGCCAAGAAAAGCAAGAGATCAAATTCCCCCAAGAAGTGGATTTCTGACCATTCCTTGGATTTTTTTTTCTTCGCTTGAGTTAATTTAAATTAGTTTCTATTACTTGCAACTAAAAGGCTTTAATGAATTCACTTGAAATACTGTTGTTAGGAAGGAAACAACTTGCTTGCAAGGTCAAGCTTAGGCTGAAAGTCAACGTGGGCCAAGGCACTTAGAGAGCAATTAATCCTCGTGACAGGATAGGGATGGGGTGGAGGGGATAGATGCTCTCTAAGGTCCCTTCTAAGAGGATAAGGGTGCTTCCCCTGGATGGCTCTGGCTAGTCTCCTCCCTCCCTTCAAAATGCGAAGCAAAAGGCAGGGAGAAGGTCTCCTTGCAGATCTTCAGCTCTCTCAGGGAAAGAGACCCACATCACTCCCAGCAGAGTCCTGCATGGCAGCAAAGGGCCAGGGTGGGAGAAGAACGAAAAACTCCCAGAGAAGAAAGGCAGTGCCTCTCCCTGCAGCAGCCAGGGCTGCAGATATGATGGAGCAGGGGAGATGGTCTCTTCTAGAGCAGCAGGAGCCAAGTTACACAGATGATGTAAGGAGGAAGTAGAGAAACTGCAGTCTCAGCTCAGAGTTTTCCTTATGTGCTTGTAAAAACAAAGTCACCCTCTGTGCAAGCTGAATAATGGCCCCCCAAGATGTCCACATTCTAATCCCTGGAACCTGTCCATGTTTTATTATATGGCAAAAGAGACTTTGTAGATGTGATTAAAGATCTTGAGATTGGGAGATTATCCTGGATTATCAGAGTAGGCTTGATGTAATCACAAGAGTCCTACTAAGAGAAAAGCAGGATGCAGCCCCATGATGACAGAAGCAGAGAGGAAAGCAGAGTTGGAGACAGAAGACACTATGCTTTGGCTTCCTAAAGACAGAGGAAAGGGTCACAAACCAAGGAATACACTTGTATTCTTCAGTAAATAGCAGCTGCCTTGGTGTATTGCTTGTTATTAAATGATCCAATACGTGTAATAGTAATTGTTCAATAAATGCTTGCTATTATACCCTTGGATCTCTTAGAGCTGCACTGTCCAATATGGTAGCCACAAGCCACATGTGACCATTTGACACAGGTGTGGCTTTTCCGAATTGAAGTATGCTGTACATATAAAATACACAACAAAATTTCAGATACTGAGTACAAAACAAAGAATGTGAAATAGCTCAGTAATCTTAATATTAATTATTTGTTGAAATAACATTTTTAACACATCCAATTAAATAAAATATATTATTAAAATTAAATTTCACCTATTTTTTTTTTTTTAGTGTGGCTACTAGAAACTTTAAAATTCTGTATGTGGCTCACATTATATTTCTATCAGACAGTGCTCTTTTGAGTCTCTGACCCGTTGCTGAATAGAACAGTCTAGAAGCAAGCCCTACACATTTAGGGAAAGTGGTGTCACACACTGACTTCTTTATAGTCACCCCTGTCACTCATCTGCTTGCTGGGCTCTGAATTTCTATAATGCTGACTGGGGAACATCCCTGAACACACGGTTAATTCTGGACTGACAGGTACAACTAAACCAAGAGAGTGAATTCAGTTGGCCTCAGAGACAACACAGGCCCCTGCACCAGGACAGAAGGAAGTAATCGCTCCTTTCTCTTTTAAATGTCCGATGAGTTCAGAGCACCACGCCCCCACACAGTGCCTCAGTGGGCACCTGTACACTCCACGTGGTGGCTATTCCTTTAATCCCTACCATCTGCTCCGAAATGTTTACCCAACAGTTTGCCATGGTGCTTGAACTTCTACCATTTGGGTGCCTCTTTGGAACAGGAAATTTAACTCTGTCTGGTGACTGTGCACAGGATTTATAGCTGTTGAGCCTCAGGAGCCATCAGGAACTGAGCTTGCTTTCTTTCCTTCCTTCTCTGGCCCTGCCCATCCACTCTCTGTCTAAGAGTGGCTCTAAACCAGAAGAAAACTCCCAGCTCCCTTCTCCTGATAGTCCCTAAAGACCACTGACATGGTCTGCTTCCTTATGAAAGGCTCCACTGCCAATCACTGCAGTGATACTGATGACAAAGGATGGCAACAGTAACAAAGCTAGGCAAGCTTCAAGGGCTCCACAATCTTACTCAGGTATCTCAGCCACAGGCCCGGGTCTATGGAGACTGAAAGGGACTTTGGCCACTGCCATTATTCTTGAGAGTAGAGCTCACCACCCAGTGCCTGAAAGTAAAGGAGATGTGGGCTCAGCCCATTTTTCACTTTGTAGACCTGAAGATGCAGCAGAGGCAGAACAGGTGCTGCCCTCAGGGACAAGTGTGCAATTTCTACCTAAGAGGCCTCTAGGCTGGGTGATGTGCATTTCACAGGCTCTCGGCCTCTACCTCTTGATCGTCTTCACAATGTCCACTAAAAACTGTGTTTCTAATTAAAAATAGAATTACCATATGATCCAGCAATTTCATTATTGAGTATATACCCAGGAGAATTGAAATCAGAGACACAGACATATATTTGTACACCCATGTTCATAGCAGTATTATTCAAAATAGCCAAAAGGTAGACACAACACAGTGTCCTTTGACAGATGGATAAACAGGATGTGGTATATGCCTACAGCTGAATATTATTCAGCCTTAAAAGGGAAGGAAATTCTGATAAATGGTACAACATGGATGGACCTTCAGGACCTAATGCTAAGTGAAAAAGCCAGACACAAAAGGATAAATATTGTATAATTCCATTCATATGAGGTACCTTGACTAGTCAATTTCACAAAGACAGAAAGTAGGTTAAGGTTGCCAGGAGCTGGGCAAGGGGTCACTGGGAACCAATTTTTTGATGGGTACAGAGTTTAAAGGGCAAGCTTAAAAGAGTTCTGGAGATGGACGGTGGTGATGGTTACACAACTATGTGAATGTACTCAACGCCACTGAAATGTACACTTAAAAATGTACATTGTAAATGGTAAATTCTGTTACATGTATTTTATCACTTTTTAAAAAGTACCTCTAATTTAAAAAAAAATCTGTTCTTATAATATTTCTAACCAGAGCCAGATTGCAATCAAATATGTTTTCAAGTGTACCAATTTGAGAAAACTCATTCCCCACTCCTCACATTCTTACATAATGGAAGAACCTCCATCAGGGAAACCCCCTACACCCATCACCCTCTCTCGGTTCTAGGCACTCCTCCCAAGGAGCAGGCTTCATTCAGATGTGTCTTTGTCTCTCCTTAGAATCTGCTGGCCACCTGGGAGGTGCATACTTATCTGATCTCAGGGGCCTAGATGCTTCCACCCAGAACCCACAGGGGAGGCCTGCACTTTGGCAATAAGTTTACATCAGGTGTTGTTAGCGAGGCAAGCACATTTGGCTGCATGCCTGACATCAGACTCTGTTAGTAATAAAGCTGATAGTTGTATTACCATCTTCTTGACTACTGAGAATAAGGAGATGAGATCAGGGTTATCAGGACCTATGAACTTGGAGAAAAGTCTTTAACCACCAAGTTAAGTTCCCCTCTAATTCTCTGTATCAAGAACTTTGATTCAGAACCAAGCAAGCAAGAAAAAAGGTCTTATTCATTGATCCCCTAAAATCCAAGCATGACCAGTGTTAGACCAGAAAGTGAAGTCCAGTGTTTTCCACTGGACCTAAGTTTCAGCAGCCTTGTCTAAGGAAGGTGGTTACTAGATGCTGGTTATTAAGCTATTGTCTCTAGGTTCTAAATCTACCCTTTTGCACTTGTTTTGTGATGCTGGATCCAGGACTCTGGTAAACATATTTCTCCGTTGCCAGCTTGCTCACTGTTGGATTCTGCTGAGAGTGATGTTGGAGAGAGACTGGAAGGCAAGAGAAGGAAGAACTGCCCTTCCTATCAGCTGGCTACTCCTGGCAATAGACCCAAGAATGGCCCTTCATCCCAGCAGCAGGTTGTCCCAGTCACCAGCTTCTTTTAGTGCCCTCAGAACAAGCCTCATGACACCACATCAGAAGGACCGTGCAAGCCAGGCAGCACCCACTCTACAGAGATCTGAGCTCTGTAGGGCCCCTCTGTGATGAACAGAATCAGTCAGAGGGGGACTTAACTCAGTGGCTAAGGACTTTTCTCCAAGTTTGGAGGTCCTGATAACCCTGACTCATTAACCCTTTATTGCCCTAACCAGTGGAGTGGGAGGGAGAGATTGTTTCCTGCCCTTTTTCCTTTGTTATATCACTATTGTCTTGTTTTGCTTTTTTTGTCCACCAATAACTATTTAATTTCCTATATTAAACATTTCCTGTTAAAATAGCTATTGTGGTTGCTGTTTTTCTGACTGGGCCCTGAGTACTATCAGGGGTTGAGGTCCATGGCAGACAGCCCTTAGTGTCACCCTCGTGACTCGTGTCTCTGGTGTCCATGGCCTATTATAATCTCTTCCTTTTGAGTGGAGGTGAGACGTGTTGACGTAGGTCTAGCCCATAGAATGTGGCAAAGGTGAAAGGACTTTGCAGATGGAGTAAAGGTCCCAAAGCAGTTGACTTTGAGTTAATAAAAAGCGAGGTGATCTGGAACGAGCCTGACTTAATCAGGTGAAAGACCTTGAAAGAGGAACCTGGCCCTCCCTGAGATCAGAGAGATTCTCCTTGCTGAAGTAGCAGCCATTCTGAGGAAACCTCCATGGCAAAGAACTGAGAATGGCCCCTAAGACCCGAGGAAGCCTCCAGCTGACAGCAAGCAAAACCCCAGGCTCTCGGCCATACCACCACAATAAAATAAATTTGGCCAACAACCTGAACAAGGTAGGAAGCATATTTTCCCCCAGCAGAGCCTCCAGATGAAAACTTTGAAGTTTCAGCCCAGCTGAAGCCTCGACTGCAGTCTCGTGAGACCCTGAGAAGAGGACTCAGGTAGACCACACCTAGACTCCTGACCCACAGAAGCCACGTGAGAAATGTGTGCATTGTTGGGAGCTGCTCAATGTGTTGGTGATCTGCTATGCACAATAGAAACTAATACAACATCTAAAGACTTCATATGAGGCAAACTAAACACAGCGTTCAGAGTACCCATGAAAATCCGAGAAGCGCTGACACCCACAGCCCAACACAGCCAGGTTTTTTCTTCCAGATTGGGACTTACAGTACCAGTCAAAGAAGGTGGCTTTCATGTAGGGACCATGTGATTCAAAACTACAAGTGTTTTTACACATTAGAATCACACTCAGCATACCAAGATATCAAACAAGATAACTGAGATTTAGGGAAAGCAGATTTGCCTCTCCTTCTCATTCACAATGTCAATATAGAGTCACATTCTGTGGTATATATTCATTGAATGGAACAGCAGGTGGAGATTCTCTTACTATTTAAAGTGTTCTCTTGCTCACTGGGCACAGTGGAACATGCCTGTAATCCCAGCACTTTGGGAGGCCAAGGTGGGCCTCCGACTTGAGGTCAGGAGTTCAAAACCAGCCTGGCCAACATGGTGAAACCCCATCTCTACTAAAAACACAAAAATTAGCCAGATGTGGTAGCACATGCCTGTAATCCCATTTACTCGGGAGGTTGAGGCAGGAAAGTCGCTTGAACCTGGGAGGCAGAGGTTTCCTGTGAGCCAACATTGCGCCACTGCACTCCAGCCTGGGCAATAGAAACTCCATCTCAAAAAAAAAAAAAAAAGATAAATAATAATAATAGCAAAGTGTTCCCTTGGTCAATATATAGTTGGGTTTACTTAAGTTAAACAAGCATATAATGTAATTCCTTATTTGAGATTTTGTGTTCGCATTTTTTTTTTTTTTTTTTTTTTTTGAAACGGAGTCTCACTCTGTAGCCCAGGCTGGAGTGCAGTGGCCAGATCTCAGCTCACTGCAAGCTCCGCCTCCCGGGTTCACGCCATTCTCCTGTCTCAGCCTCCCGAGTAGCTGGGACTACAGGCGCCCGCCACCTCGCCCGGCTAGTTTTGTGTATTTTTTAGTAGAGACGGGGTTTCACCATGTTAGCCAGGATGGTCTCGATCTCCTGACCTCGTGATCCGCCCGTCTCGGCCTCCCAAAGTGCTGGGATTACAGGCTTGAGCCACCACGCCCGGCCATTGTGTTCGCATTTTTAAATTAATAAGACATTTGTGATAAATTTTGGAGAAGCTTCTTTTATACTTCAAGACACCTAGTTTAGCCAAGACTATATTGAGCCTGCCCATAGTCCATTGAAAAAAGAAATGAAAATGCTTTTTCAGGAGGCAGCTGCAAAATAATAGGAATACTTCTTTGGGCCCTCTGTGTAAAACATGGCAACAAAAGAACTCAAGCCAGATCTTCTATCTCCATCTACCCCAGAAAGAATAATTAATAATGAGTGAAAAACAGCAAAATTGTGTCACTAAAATGACCTGAGATTTGGAATTAGGCAAAAGAAAATTCTAAGTATTCTTTCAGTGCACCATGGGGCTTGATTTCCATGGACTAGGTTATTTTACAATACTGTAGGAATACACCAGGCACAGTGGTTCGTGCCTGTAATCCCAGAAATTTGGGAGCCTGAGGCAGGAGGATCCCTTGATCCCAGGAAGGACCAACCTGGGCAACACAGTGAGACTCTGAGAGACAAGCGCTGGACGCAGGGGCAGGCCACATGGGATGGTCTGGACAGGCTCTGTAGCACAGCAGCCTTCATGAGAAACAGGCAGAAGGGCCTGGGCACGAGAAGCTACTGCAAACAAAAGCAGCAGCAGCCATAAAGGGACTTGTTCCCAAGCAACATGAATCATCTCTGAACCGGTCTGGTCCAATCCCTATAGTCTAACTAGCAAATACTTTTTTTTTTTAACTATTAGCAAACACACACACTAAAAACAGATTTTCATCTTTGCCAACTGTGTGTTTTTTTCCTACATCAACCTATTATCCAATTCTCCTACACCAACTGAATATCCTATAACTCAGTTCAACTCTGAGACTCAGTGGCAGGCAGACTCCACAGGCTTAAGGGCACAGTTCCGTAGGATTGCCCTCACTTCAGATGCCAGTCACAAGCATCAGATCCCCAGGCTACCCACATTTGCATCTGACTTGGCTACAAAGTCAGGCTCCCCACACCCCACCCCTTGCCAGCGTTTAATAATTTGCTAGAATACTGATAGAACTCAGTGGCCACTTTACTTACATTTACTGATTTATTATAAAGGATACAAATGAAGAGCCAAAGGAACAGGCCCAGAGGGTGAGGTCCGAGAGGGTCCTGACCACAGGGCTTCTGTCCCCATGGAGTTGGGATGCACCATCCTCCCAGTACATTAATGTGTTCACCAACTCAGAACCTCATTGTTTAAGGGTTTTTATGGAGCTTTTATTACACAGGGATGATTGATGGAATCATTGGCCATTGGTGACTAAATTCAATCTCCAGACCCTGTCCCTTCCCCAGAGGAGAAGGGGGTGGAGCTGAAACTTCCGAGCTTTATCAGAATTTGATCAGAACCAGCTCCCATCTTAAAGTGATCTAGTGGACCCTGCCAAGGGTTACCTCATTAGTACAAACACAGATTGCTGAAAGGGGTGCATAATGAATAACAAAAGATGCTCCTATCGCTCAGGAAATTTCAAAGGTTTCAGGAGCTTTGCACCAAGGAAAAATAACAAATTTTTTTTTCCTATTATATATTCCAATGAATCCAGACAAGTTCATCAGAAAGTCAAACATAATGGTTGTCACAGTGTATCTAAATATGTTATATTTTTCTATGAAATGACAAATATCCTCATATTTGATCTAACCATATACTGTCCACAAGAGGCACATCTAAAACAAAGTGACTCAGTAGGTTTAAAAATAAAAAGATAGAAAAAGATACAGTATACAAAAAGAATTAAAGTCCTAAACTATTAAAATAAAGGATAAGTAATAAAAATCAAGATATGCAATGAAGATATGTTTGTCATAAACCTTTAGTTTCTGAATAAGAGGAAAATAACCAAAACACAATTGCTATGGTGATTTCGTCAGTTCTTAACAGATCAAGTAAACAAACAAAAGATGTAGAATGTCAGAAAAAGTCATTGCTGGGATCCACTTTGTAAATATTGAAAAAAACAACAACAACAAAATCTTTTTCAGTATCTATGGAACAGTTTTTAAAAATTGATTACATATTAAACCACTAAAAACCTTAAATAAATTTCAAGCCCAGAAATTTCATGACTACCTTGCATACCACAATACAGTAAAACTAGAAATTGAAAAAAATGTGTAAACAAAAATCATCAAACTACTTGGTTTGAAAACACTCTTCAAAATTATCCATGGATTATTTTGCAATTTACAGAACTCTTGTAAACTGCAATTTACAGAACTCCCGGACAATAATGATAAAGAAAATACCACATATCAACATCAAGAGAAGACATCCACATCTGTAATCAGAAGTGTAAAATCAAGTTCGGCCTAAAGCTGCAGACTTACTTGTTTTAAGTTTGGCCTAAAGGTTTCTCAGTACATCATGAACTGTAACCTAACTGGATGTATAAACAGACTGTAGCCTACTTTTGTGCCAATCATCAAGTTTGGGCCAATCACAGGCTGCCAACCATTCAAACTGTGTTCAAATAAGCCAAATGCCTAAGCTGTAACCAATCCAGCTGTTTCTGTGCCTCACTTCTGTTTCCTGTAGGTCACTTTTCTTTTTCTGTTCATAAATATTCTTTCACCACACAGCAGCACCATAGTCACTCCGATCCTATTCTAGTTTGGGAGGCTGACTCACAAGTCATTATTTGCCCAGTTAAGCTCTGCTAATGTTAATTTGTCTAAAGTTTATCTTTTAACAGACGTGACTTCAAAGGGTTTGATCAAAACAGTAATGAACATTTGTTGAGCAATTACTGTGTGCCAGATACTGTGCTAAGCACTTTTACAAGTGGTTTCTCAATGATTCCCCATAACTAACCTGAATTGCTTTAATTATCAAATAAGAAAGAATGAAAATATATGAAGTAAGCATATAACTCAAGATGTCAAAAAAGAAGGACGTTAAATTAAGCTTTAGAAACAGAAGGAATAAAGTAATAAAGTTAAGAGATGAACCTCATGAGAAACCTGTGAAGGAGCAGAATTGATCAATCAGCCCCAGCAGGTGTACGTAGCAGAAGCTGTCACGCTCCTCCCATATGCTCAGAACCACATCACTTCAGTGTCTTCCAAAATAATTCCAGTGTCAGTGTCTGCATTCCTTTGCCTACTAGCCTTTTCTGAAGCCTTTCTGTGTGCCTGAGACAGGCTATGAGTGCCAGGGAATTAACACCCTGACACCAC